GTGTACGTATATTTACCCTATTTACGCAAACATTGATGCAAAGTTAATTTTTATACATGCCGACTTGTGCGTAAAATATGGGACCGTACATTTTTTGTGCGCCCACCGCTTTATGCATGACGCCCCAGATTTGCAATTTAGAATTCACTCAGGCACAAACACTGAGTTCTGTAAGACTGAAAATGGACTATTTGTCCTTAATATCTATTTTTGGTGGGGGGAACTTTCAAGCCTGAGAACATCTTTCCAAATAGGAAGAATGAGGATGGCAGCATCATATTGTCTCAGCACTTTGGAATTGTCTTTGCAAAGATAGTACTTACGTGGTCCATCAGCTCTTTAACAATGCCATTCCACTGGCCCGTGTTCTCATCCTGTGCACCATATTTTCCATCTTCCACCAGGCGAATCTCATATGTAAAGCCCAGGATGTTTGCCAGCTCTCTCAGTAGGTCAATGCAGTAGCCTTCAAAACGGTCGTTTCCATAAAGTGGGGTGTCAGATTTCTTGAACATCACATATGGCTCCTCCTGTCAGGGCAAATAGTGAAAAGATTAGTCCCTGAAACACTTGACATCTTTTACACGCTGTTAAGGCCTGTATGAAAGTTCTTCAACATGGGAAATGGACTTTTAAGCAATGCAAATTAAAAAAATAAAATAAAAAATCACCGGCTTTGCCAGTGAAGCAAGTGTGATACTGCTGTGTACATGTCCTTGGCAGAAGAAACTCCTGTTATTGATGTAGGATGGGTGCAAAGTGAGACATGGCCATAATAAGAGATAATCCCTCCATATCAATGACTTTTCTTCTCTCAGACACATAAGGCTAGCTTTGGTCCCAGGCCCAGCTTTCTGGAGACAACATTCCTTGTTAATAACATAAGAGATGTTGATAGATGGACACAAAAACACAGAGCAGAAGCTGGTACATTCTCTTTGTCCACATGAACAGCTGCCAAGATTGTTAATGTCTTTTTTTATACCGTTTCCTCTCTAGCTCTATTGAACAGTTCCTCTGCTCCATGTCCCTCCACAGGCCGCCTCTCCACTTTACGTCTGTCTTTGTTAGCCTTAGACCCCTTGTCTCTCTGAGATATAAATCACAAAATATGCCACCTGCCAGGTGTTATCATTTGGTTGTGGCATAACTGAAACCAAAAAATGCTGAGCTCCACCACATTTTATTCTTATAGTAATCAGTAAAAAAATAAAACTTATCTAAACTAAACTAGACTAAAATACGTAGTAAGGGCCATTTATTACAAAATCTCATAAATCTGTCTCCTCAAACTCAAAAATAAAATGATTATGATGCACATTTATTATGATTGATAGTTTGTGTGTGGAAGCAGCTCTTGTGTGACCCAAAAAACTTAAAAACCATAAGGGGTCAAGAGTAACCTGCGGAGATTACATTTAGTTTTAGTGAGTATAATATTTCACTCTCTGGCAAATTTCTAATGTATTAATGTTATAAGTAAGGTGAAACATGCACCTCAACTTTTGTTGCTGATAAACAGTCTACATCGGTTATCTAGAGTTCTATCTATACTGTATGTTTCTGTGTGAATTCTGACATGCAATTTTTTAAGTTCAGGATTATTTGGCCTAAAACTGTCTCACTACAGGCCTCTGTGGTCAAACGATTCTTGGTAGAACTTCAACAGATATAAAAGCACAGCGCTCCCTTCCTCCACACCTCTTTCTGCCCCCCCGATCACTTGGTGGCCAGTCAGGAGTTATTGCAAGTGTTGCTGTGGTGACTGGCTAGCATTGCTCGATAGCATTATTCAGCTTTACAAATGTGTGATTTATTTGCAATGTGTACACAGAGGGGAGTGGGTGTCCTCTGCCCTGATTATTCCTGGAGGACCAATTATAAATGAAAGTAGAAATATACATATTTTGTTTTTCCTTACACATGCGGTTTCATCAAGAAATGTATATATTTTGTTTTGTATTTTCATTATACATGTGTTTGTTCTTTTTTCATTTCTTCATCTCTTTTTTTTAGTTTTTCTTCTTCTACTTTTCCTTATGCATTTCTGCTTAATTATGCAAATGTGGAGGGTGGTGTCTTAGCACTTCAGCCTGTTGGTTGGTTAGCATCACACTTAACACTGGCATCTTCAACGTCATCACCTTGCCGTAGCCAACGTTGATGATTTCTGGTGGAGAAGTTCGGTAACCGAACCACTGTGCTAACACGTGGGAAAGACTTGAAAGACGTGTGTTCTCCTTTTAAGTGCGTCATTGATGAGTAAGTTGCAATATTTGAGTATTTACTGCCGCTAAATAAGTGATTTGAAGTTTATTCATTTGCTACTATTTCACCTGTTAAGTCCGAGCTATCTGCTACGTGTGTATTGTAGAGCATTGTGCTGAACATACAACTACTTTGACTGGAGTAGATGCATGATTATTAGTTCACTGTGGCGTTAACTTGCCTTAGTTTGCTTATTAATAGTGATTTTGAGGTTGAGCTTATCTCTGTTTCATCTATTTCCTTCTTAGTTTATCTAAGATATTGTGGCATGGTGTAATGTGTAATGATTGGACACCTTGAATTTATTTTCTGTAATTTTGTTTATTCTAGGAAACCACACACACACCTTCATATAGACACACATTTATGCCCATCCATGTTCATTGGATCAAGATCTGTGATACAGTTTGGAACACAGAACAGTTAAAGGAATCCTGACTTGTGTCTTCATTATTTCATCTGCTGCATCTCATCCAAACATCTGGTCCTGAGCTGAATCCTGGTCTAAGTGGTGTTCTGGCCGACACTCCAGGTTCAGAGTGGTGACAAACCTGAACAGTGCCTTACAGAGTCCTTCAACTCTCGAGGAAACTCACCGACAATCAGGTTTTTCATAGTTTGGACGAAGCAACCAATGAATTGGCTTCTGATTGAAGCCAATTCATCGGAGTCCTCTGGTGCTTGCCAATACACTCATTTTTAATCAGTGAGAGTATGAATGAAAAGTTAATGTACCTCAGTAACTCAGCTCGCAACTAAACTCGTTATAGATTAATTACACAGACGTTTTAAAGCTATTATTTATGTCAGTGATAATTTCTGGGTTACAGCTACTGAATACATGGCATTAGGATTAGAATATTACATCAGCAGTGAAAAATATGTTTAAAACCTGCTTAAAGGTTATCATGTTGATTCAAATTCATTTAAATTCAAATTCAAAAATACGTGATTAATCCCAAAGGGACATTAAATGTTTTTGTAACTCATTAATTCTTCAAAGAGTTATTATAGATTGTAATGGCTGTTGGCATGAAAGATCTCCTGCAGCAGTCTGTATTACAGTAAATCTGACGAAGCTTCTGACTGAAGATGCTCTGCTTTCCCAAGACAGTCTAATGAAGATGATAGTCAGGGATGTCCATAATTTTCTTGATTTTATGAATAATCCTTCTTTGCCTCATCATCTCCAGAGGTTCCACAGTCGTCCCCAGAACAGAACCAGAACAGAACCAGCCTTCTTTATCAGGTTGTTGAGCCTTTTTATGTCCCTGGCAGCAGCCCCAACAGATGACGGATGAAGAGATGACGCTCTCAACAACAGACTGATAGAAGATCTGCAGCATCTTGCTGCAAACCTTGAAGGATCTTAGCTTCCTCAAGAAGTCCAGTCTGCTGTACTCGGCCTCTTGTCCATCTCTGATTCAACCAACAACTGCAGAGTCATCTGAGTATTTCTGCAAATGACAGAAGTGCTCTGTCTGTGAGAGGATCTACAACTTGGAACTCACTTCCTGTTTATTTAAAGTCTGTAACCAGTTTTAGAACGTTC